TATAAAGTCTAACTATAAGTTTGTAAACCCCACAAAACATGTGAGTGAAGTAAATAAAAAAATAACAAAAACACAAGAAAAAACCCATGACTAGGCAACAAGAATCACTCACAACACCTTGCACTTGTTAAATTCTAACGTCTAAAGACTATCTATTATCCTGTAAACAAGTGGCAATGTATCAACCATTTTCAAAACTATAAGAAGATATGAGAATGCTTATAAGATTGAGAGATATTGCTTTTCCCGTGAAGACTGCAGTCATAAAGCAGTGACTCATTCAAGTAGGCACGGAATCCACAATCATGAGGACCCCACCCAAGATCTTCTAAACTCAAGAGAAAGATATATATCCCTTTGATAGAGAGAGATCGACCATTTTTATTATCATAAAAAGTTAATCTCCCTCTAAGTGATCTGTTTAGTTAAGTAAACTTTACATGCAACTGAGTATTTTAGTCATGGATTCATTCTTTAAATACGATCCAATCATAAGTTGAGATGAGATGAGCATGTTTTACTCAAACCAACACATATCATCATCATTATAAGAAAAGCATATCATAGAATTTTATATGAGTTAATTAATGTTCTTATATCATAAACCAAAGATTTGGAAAAAACCTTAATATGGAAACAAAACACTGGTCAATCTAATTCAATTTATTTTAAATTATATTGTCACTCAACATGTTGACCTGTTTGTTATATATGGCACAAGAACTTTCCCTAAATCTTTATGTTTTCAAATTAAGGATTGTTTCCTAATATCCAAAAACTTTCCACCAAGATATAATCAAATCAGTGAACAATCTCCTCTATCATGATTCTATAATCTAAAATCACTTATATTTCAATTTCGACTTGAGAAAGAAGTTATACGCCGCTGATTGATTCCAAAACCAAAATTTTAACTCGCTTCTGCTTCATTTTCAGTTTCGATCATGATTTCAAAATTCCAAACAGGGCAATATAATATAATTATGCTAAAATCTCGGAGACAAACAAAATCGATATCGGCGAAAAAACCCTAGAAACGTACGGTATCAATCTAAATCGGAAACCGTTTCAAGCAAATCATCGATCAGGCAAAATCAACCGGTTATTGTATATGTAAACCACGAAACCTGATCATCGCACCATTCAACAGAACACGACGACGATAAGGAATACAAAACGACTCGATAATGAAAAACGAATCTATCGGAAAAATCTGCTTGCAGTGAGATGAGATTGACCGGAGACGAGGAAAGGAAGAAGAAAAACTACTAACCTAGATCGACGAACGATGCAGCCGCCGGAGAAAGCAACACAAAAGCTGTTGAGAGCGACGACGGAGCGATGCGATCGAACAAGCAGCAATCGGAGATCGATAAGAGAGTGTGGAGGTTGTGGAGAGTAGTGAGAGAGAAATAGAGAGAAGGATGAGGAAGGAGCAATAGAGAGAAAGCAGCCTTCTGTGGTTATGGCCCAATCATTTGGAGGGAATTTGTTCCCCTTTTTTCACCTTTTAAATTCTCTTTTTTTCTTCTTTCAATTTCTCAAAAATAACCAAAAGTTAAGGGCTATTTTATTTTCTTTCTCACACCCACAACCAAAAGTAATGATATCAAATCTTAATTATTATTGGTTCTGACTACGCTCCGTATATAAAAGACTATTTTGTTTTCTGTAAGTTTCTCTAAGTCAAAGTAGTGGAAATATTCTGAAAAGGTATCATTTCATAGAAATTATCAATTAAAAATATTAATTCAACTTAAAAACAAAATAAGTGCATTAATTATGAAGAAGACTATGAACTTTTTCTTTGGGAAAAAACAAAAATATAATAAAGTATATACGGTTACCTTTTTTTGTTTTCCGGTGTGATAATAAACTATTGTAAACAAACTAAGAAATTATTAGAGAAAAAATAGATGTTCGTAGTTGATACTTGCTAGTTGCTAGGACCTGATCATTTGTCTGATGAATCTTGCATTATTGGAGGCAGCACCATTCTTTGGTTAACTATAGATGATAATGCGTGTAATATGCATTATATGCTAATAGTGAATTTCTATGTCTTTTTTTCATGGACTTGATAAGCAGGTCTCTCAATTGAACGTAATTTTTTTTTTTGGTTTAAATCTAAAAATACTATAAATTGAAGGTCACAACTTTCTGATGATCTTGTAATTCAGAACTGTGAAAACTTTCAACATCCCTAAAATATTATTAGACCCTTTCTTATGGTCCAAAAGCTTACTTAAATAATAGAATAAGTTGATTGGCCGCATGAGAGACCACGACGAAGACCTTTACGTCAGCGTATAACTTTTGCTTCATGGGTATCATCTGACTCACCAGTCATCACATTCGCATTATTCAAGTAAACCAACTCATCGATTATTATATTATTGCTGTTTCTGTTATCAACGCAAGTATTATCTTACATACGGTTTATATATTTGTTCTACTGTACTAGTAGTTAATATGAGAGGACTGAGCTTTAGATCGTCAATTAAAATTGTCTACAATAATAAATCGAATATGGTGCAAGGCTGCAACTTGTAAAGTGCTGATAAATTATGTTCCTTGATTCTATGATTTGAGAAATGCTATAAATTAAAGATGCTTCTCGTGGTCGCATGGATCACTTTTTGCTAAACTTTTGTTTTGCTTTTCTTAATTAATTAGTACATTATCATCGACATTTTTTTTCTGCTTTAGGTCTACTGTTTTCTAAGTTGAGAGTTAAGTAATAACCACTGACCAGTGGTTTCCCGTAGTCAGTGCACTAAATTGTGTTTTCTTTTGTACTCTTGATATTTCTTGAAATTTAAGCACTATTCTAAAGTCTACATCAAATAACAGATTTAAATAACTCGTACGTACATAGACCCTTTAACAAACAAAAAAAAAAAAAAAAAAAACTCGTACGTACATACCATACCCCAAAGTTCCATTATCCATTACTATAATAATATATATATATATATATAATTGACAACTTTTATTTCGAACAGTAAAAAATGTTTATGGATTTCAATCTTGGATGGCCAAATTGTTATTCTAATCACTTAAGCAGAAGGTGTGATCTAGAAAAGTAATTAACGACCGGATTAAAAAATGCTAATATTTGGTTTGCTTGGATCCACTTTTGATTCAGATTCAACTGAATTCGGTTTGCGTTTAGATCAGCTAATAAATTATCTTTTATTAGTTAATATATTCTTTAGTCAACTTCTTGAGCCTATTTACGTTTGAGTTTTATATTTGGATTAAGATTGATATAGACATATGTGATTACAAATTGCTTAAAACAAAATTCAAATACAATGAATGACCAATCGCTGTGGAGATTATACCCCACGCGCTAAAAAGATAAAGATTAGAGAATGGTCGCTGTTCGTAGTTTGATCTTTCCATGCACGTAGTGTGTTAGCTTTAAATTATTACTCTACTACTAACAACCTTTTTTGCCCCCTTTTCTCACAAAAACAAAAAACAAAAGATGATATTGCTTGCCAGCTTCTGAAGATTTGTATCAGGCAGATCATTCATAAGCACTGCGAACTGAATCAATATATTTTGATTGAGATTCTGTTATACGGTTTACCCTTTTAGTAAAATAAATAATAACAATTGTAATTTATTTGGTGGTAAATATATGATTCATGAACAAAAAAAGAAAGAAAAAGGAATGCGAATTACAGGTTAGTCCAAAATGCTTATGCAAAACATAAGAGCAAATATAGTTTCGCCACTAACAGGAAGAGAATACACTTAGCGAGTGGTTTGGCGAATGATTCGGACAGGCGAACATTTTCCATTTTTATCACAAATTCGGTAAAGCCAAATTTACTTGGCTTGTATCATATTTGGTGTGTCGAATCTTATCAATCATTTACATTTATAAAAGGGAGAACCTTTTTTTTACAGCACAAAGTACTTTAAATTGCGTAAATCTACCAATAAGGATAATCCATAGTTTATTCTTGCACTCAAGTAAATTAATTTTGTAATAGCTATATCCAAAGCCATGTTAATTTTCTTGTGTTATTTTTCTTATGTAAATATATGTGTGTGTGAGTTCTTGTACAATCCACCATAATTTGTCTGTATTATGTTAGGTTGTTTTCTTATAGTATTATGTAACACTATTTACTTTTGTTCCGTTTTGTCGCCATTCAAGTTATATATATGTTTATAAAAAACAAAACATATGGACAAAACTATAAGTTATGTCTTAGGTTGTTCAACTAGAGAGGTGGTACAAATATAGCATACTAAATTTGGCCGAGTGAGAGACAACAATCACGTGAATTCGGATATTTTTGATGTCAAATTCATAGGTTCGGTTGGCCACTACACGCGGTACCACCACCATTATCAGTCTATCACACACACGTGGAGGGAGCATAACCGGTCCGCTCCCGGTACGATCTCGAAACTAATTACCCCACTTCTAGACCGGACAATCTTTAAAGGATTGCCACTCGATTCTGAATATCTCATCCTACTAAGTCTTGTTCCCGAAAGGCGTCAGGACTAGACAACAGTACGTACGTGTGTTTTTCACGTTTTTTAGATATTGATGATTATACCTTATGTGGTCATCAAATTTATATCCATATTTTATCAAAATAAAATAAAAATAATATCCATCTTCGATGCAAAAGTTTATCGGTTGATCCAACATTCCAACTTGTGTCGTCCGAATATAAAATCACATAATTAAAATATTGAACTTTACGGGGCCGAGTTTATAGTTGGGCCAGTTTGGTAAAATTTAATTGGGTCTGAAACTTATTTGATCATTTTCAAAAGCAAAGATCCTCGATTCTCTCTGACAAAGCCAAAGAGGGTCTGTGAAGGTCGCTGAAACATCTTCCATACAGACGTGGTTTGCTCCAGTCCGGTGAGCGCGGCGGCGAGGAATCAGAGAGAGACGGAGAGAGAAACGCGCCGCCGGGAATCGCGTATACATATACAAAGAGAGAGAGATTGATTGAGGGAAAATGGCGATCAGGAAGCTTCTGCTACTATTGAAACCGATTGATCCGTACCCATTCCTTCAAACAGAAGGTGTATCGCTCATCAAAAACCCTCAGGTATCATCATCCTCACTGCGTCTCATCTAAATTTTGATCATTTCCAAGCCGGATCACGCCTATGATCATTTCGTATTTAAGGTGTTCGACGAAATTCCTAAGAGAAAAAGTCCGAAACGTTGACATTTATGTTTATTTTACACGCTCAAAAAACTATCTTTGTTTTTGTAATTCTTGTTCGTCTCTCATGGCTTGTAAAGTTTCCTCCTTTTTGCTTTGGTCGCTACTCTGCCTAAGCGTTCTAATGCCTGATTACATTATACTGACTCTTGTTTTTTCTTCTTTTGGTGTTAATAGGTTCTTCAATATCTTGAGAGCAGGTGCAAAGTACACAAGAATGCTATAAATATGTGTAAGGAGATACTAAATAAGAAGCCAGTCGAATGGAAACCCGTTTCACGTAACGACTTATCGAAGCCTATTCATGATGTGGATATGGTCATCACCGTTGGTGGAGATGGCACACTCTTGCACGCCAGTCATTTCATCGATGACTCTGTTCCTGTTCTTGGCGTTAACTCTGACCCAACACAAGCTCATGAGGTTTAACCATACCTTCCTGATATAAATTTTTCTTTTTTTCATAAAGAATGTGAAATAGAAACGAAGTGTTTTTGTTATAAGTATAGGTTGAAGAACTTAGCGACCAGTTTGATGCTAGTAGAAGCACTGGTCATCTTTGTGCTGCAACAGTTGAGAATTTTGAACAGGTAAGTTTGCTAGAGGAATCATGTTTGTGTGATTGGTCTTGTTTGATCCTTAGAGTATTCAATGCCATTTTTTACACAGGTGCTGGATGAAATCTTGTTTGGCAGAGTAGCTCCTTCGGAGATATCGAGAATCTCATTGAAGTTAAACTCAGAACCTCTTCTCTCACACGCACTTAACGACATTTTGATCGCACACCCATGCCCTGCCGCTGTTTCAAGGTTCTCTTTCAAGTAAGAGTTTCTTAGACTTAGAAAGTGTATACATTTTCTCTTTGAAAGCTTATTGCTATTGTGTAGATATGATCTCTCTCTGAACACTCAATGTTTGTTACAATCTGTTCAGGGTTAAGAATAAAGATGGTGAGATACGTTCAAAGACAGTGAACAGTCGCTCGAGTGGTCTAAGAGTTTGCACAGCTGCAGGATCAACTGCTGCAATGAGGTCAGCTGGTGGGTTTGTGATGCCAATGTTGTCTCGTGATCTACAATTCATGGTTAGAGAGCCGATCTGTCCCGGTTCAACCGCCAGTCAAATGCATTCGGCTTTCAAACCGGACCAGTCCATGGATGTTAACTGGTACTCAGACCACGGAGCTATCTACATCGACGGCTGTCATGTTCGCTACAACGTGCAGCTAGGAGATGCAATCGAGATATCATCCGATGCGCCGGTGTTGAAAGTTTTCTTGCCTCAGGGCTTTGCTCAGGTCAGATCGAAGTACTAGATTTGGTGGAGATTTGTTCATAAAGTTAAAGTTGGTACATTGAATCCCATTAGTGTATAGTTATGGTAAAGATTCTTTGGTCGAAAGATTCGTTGATTCTTGAATCTTTTTGATTGTCGAAGAAGTTTAATTGAAGTAGCCATCTTTCTTGAATCAAGAACGTGGACGCATCTGATCCTCCTCTTGAGCCATAAAGATATCGTAATCATCTAGAATTCTCTCTCTTTCCCGTGCAAATTGTTAATTTTGGAAAATATCTTTTATCAAAATGGGACCTCGTAATCATTGATTGATCATTGTTTTTTGTATGTTAATTACTTTGTTTATGGCTTGCGTTCTTGTAAAACAAAAACAAAAAGATATCTAGTACTGTATTATGTAGGCTCCGAATTATCCTCTTCCACCTATAAGGCTATAAACCATACGTGGATCAATATGAATCTTGATATTTTATATGCAACGAGAGATATTTTTCTATGAAAATATTTCGCTATCATATGTAAATGACATAATGCATGAACCGGAACATTTTTTTCTACAAAAAACAATAAAAAATTGGTTATTCAAAAAAGGTTGTCAAAATGAAGTAGACTGTCGTTTGAAAAATTTGTACTGTATCATTTCATTAACATCTATTCTCGAATACCTAATATTCCCTATTCATGCACATTGTTTGGGGCTATGACTTATGAAGTTATGATTGTACATGTCTCTGGTTATTATCGATCTCATCATTCAAACAAAAGATTTTTGTGCATGTGTTGATGGAGAGACAAGTTTACTGGTTGCATGTGGGGACACGCGCAGCCTCAAGCAAGAAAAAAAAAAAAAAATCTTTGGATCTTTTTCTTTGGACCTAATCTGCGATCTTTTCATTTTAGAGACCCTTCATTTTATTACAGCTTGACTGACAGCAGAGATGGTCTCCTGCACTTCAGACACTTGTAGTTAGACCGCCACGTGTCTATGCAATGTTCACTCATAGCCTACAAAATATCCCCCGTAACAAATCCGTATTTCCTACTTGACCCCACCACTTATAAATCGTACATAGACCCCCATTTTTTTTATTTAAAACTGAAAAGAAATCCTCCTACCGCCACTATTTATTATTTTATTAATTTAAAAGATATTTTCCTCCCAACGACTTATCTAGAATCCAAATGTACAAATTAATTTTGCTAGCCAGAAAATTATATATTAATACGTTTTTGAGGGAAATAAAATGATAAAAAATTTCTCCTTCAGAAAAAACGTAAGACTTGCTTAAACCATAAACCTTGAGGAGACAGAACCGGATGCTCCATTTCTCTCTCTTTACTAAAATTTATCAACAAAATCAAGTCTCCGACACAAATCCAAATAAGAAGATTGGTTGGTGGATGAATCGGAGATAAAGATGAAGATCCAGTGTAACGTTTGCGAGGCGGCGGAAGCGGCTGTGCTATGTTGCGCCGACGAAGCTGCCTTGTGTTGGGCTTGCGATGAGAAAGTTCACGCCGCTAATAAACTCGCCGGGAAGCACCAGAGAGTCCCTCTCTCTGTCTCTTCCTCTTCCATTCCCAAATGCGACATTTGTCAGGTATGCTCTCTTTGATTTTCCTCTCAGTTCCACGAATCGTTGATCTATGTTTTAGATCCTCAAATTTTGGGCCTTTTTTTATGTTATCTATGAAAAAGTTTGAATCTTTTTTAGCTATGAGAGTTTGTGACATAAACCAATTTCTTGATTAAAAAGGAGTGATTTTTCGTATTTACTATGAAAAGTTTGAAACTTTTTTAGTTTTATAGACGCCATGAACCAGTTTCTTATCAATTTTGAGTTTACTGGTGGTATAAAATCTTAAATATGCTCTGTTTTACAATTGTGAATATGACAGGAAGCGTCTGGATTCTTCTTCTGTCTGCAAGATAGAGCTTTACTCTGTAGGAAATGTGATGTTGCAATCCACTCTGTGAATCCTCATGTCTCAGCTCACCAGCGTTTTCTTCTGACCGGAATCAGAGTCGGTCTTGAATCTACAGACACTGGTCCTTCTACTACAAAGTCATCACCATGTAATAATGATGATAAAGCCATGGAGACAAAACCATTTGCTTTACCTACACCTGATCCTCAAAAGATGGACTTTGATCAAGTAGCTTTCTCGGAAGCTAAAGTCAGTGATCACATTTCGACAAAGCTTCCTTTCGCAAGCAGCGGATCAGCTGCTGGAAGCATTCCTCAGTGGCAAATAGAGGAGATTTTCGGATTGACTGACTTTGATCAGAGCTATGAATACATGGAGAACAACGGATCATCAAAGGTAACACTTTAGTAATCAGGATTGATTAATCTTATGGCTTCTTTGTATTCATTGATTTGGGTGTCTCATTATGAGAAATTATATTTGTGTTGCAGGCGGATACTAGTAGGAGAGGAGATTCAGACAGTTCATCGATGATGAGATCAGGAGAAGAAGATTTAGAAGATAACAACAATAACTGTTTGGGAGGTGAGACACCATGGGCGGTTCCAGAGATTCATTCTCCACCTACAGCTTCTGGTCTAAACTGGCCTAAACATTTTAACCAACACTCTGTGTTTGTTCCGGACATATCTGCTTCAACTCCTTACAATACCGGTTCGTCTCCTAACCAGAGGATTGGGAAACGGCGGCGATGGTTTTAACGACTGCAACAACTATCTTTTGGCCGGTTTGAGGAGAATACCAGCCGGTTTGTCAAATATAGATCATGTAAAATGATTTGGCAATTGGTCTACTGTAGTTGGTCTGTGAAAGTTGAAAAAAAGATATTTATTTGGTTAAGGATTTTAAAGAGAGATTTTCATTTGGTGTCTGCTGGGTTTTGCTTAATCATCGTTTACAATCTCTAGTAGACCTTGTTGATCTGATCATTCAGTTTAATTCTTTTGACCAGGAGCAAAACCGGGGAAATAACCATTGTTTCTTCTCGAACCGAAACTAAAACCATGCAAACCATACCAAGTAGCTTTCATTAACAGAAACGCCATAATGCAGAACACTGTGCAGATATTAAAAGGAACAAAATTTATATATCACACTCTGATTAAACTCGAGTAGTATCATTTCCTAAATTCTAAATCCGTAGTTAAAGAAGACCAAAACAAATGAGAAAACCCATGACCTCTTTGATCCAAACCATGTAAAAAGTTTTCAGTTGCTGCCAGAAGGAGGAGCAGACCAGTGAGGTGGAAGACGATCGGAAACAGGCAAAGCAGTAGGATTAGGCATGTTCTTGACATTGATGTCGATAGGAAACAACCGATACTCAATGTCAAGCTCTCTGCAAATCTTGGCAATCTCTTCAACAAGCTGAGATCTTCTCGCCCATTTCTCTCCCATGTCTTGATGATTCATTCGATGCGTTGGCCAAACCGCAATCCTCACACTGTTCAATGACTCCATGTCTTTGAACACTATCATTGGCGCTGGATACCAATGATCCTTCTTCCCCTCAATGTAGCTATCACAATCACAATGAATGTTAGTTGATATACAATATACATTAAGATATTGAAATTTGTGAAATTTGTGTACCTTGTGATTCTCTGCTTGATGAGGATGATTTTCTCAGCTGGAGTAGCAATGTGGATGGAGAATTCGATTCCATCTCCCATGTCAGGGCTACGGTAATAGTTTCCGATGGATTTAGTCCAGAGAAGACTGTTTGGATACACGACTTTCTGGTTATCAAACCTCAAGAACACTGTTGTCAATATGTTCATCTCTTCCACAACCATCTGAAAAAACACAAAAAAAAGAGGATTTTTAAACATTACAATCGGAAAAAAATGAGATCTTTTAGTTACCGGTTTGTGAATTTACCTGGACTCCATCGATTTCACAACGATCACCTACATCGAAAGGGTGTATCACAAACAGGTAGATGATAGATTCAAACACGATCTTGCACATGTTTCCAAATATGAACGCCACGACCACGACTTGCGAACTCATGACCACTAGGAACTTGGTGTTGGTGATTCCAAGTACGATTAGCCAGATGACGAAAATTATGATCCCAACTACGATGTTCACCATCTTGTGAAGCCTGTTCACTGCTGTTTTCGTGTCGTTTAGTGTCAATGCAAGCGCTCTTCTCTCTCTGAATGCATTCACCTGTAACAAAAAAACGTTTGTGCAAAATTCAATAACACATCAGAAAACGTTCAAAGAGAGTGTTAAGTAAATTCATTCATTCCACAACTTCTCTCACCACCCAGTTTTTAAGACATGATTTGCTGATCCGATTCGTCTCAGATGCTCCTTCAAAGAGAGATAAAGTCTTCAAAGCTTGATCTTCTGGTAAAAACCTCAAAATGTCCTTCGAGTAGATGAATCTAGGTAACAAGAACGTGCAATTGCTACAGGTTAATATCCATAATGTGATATGGTTAAATGTAACAGAGAAAGAGTGATTTTACTTACTTTGATCCAGGCTTGGCAACATTGTGAAAGATTTTTCTTGCAGCAAGCTTTGCCTCAAACTCACTTCTGATTTGGTTTCCTTTATCATCATCCAAGCTTGGATCTTGCAGCTGCTCATCCAACGTGGTAAGTGATCCATGCCTGATTACATACATCAGCCTCTTCATCTTCCAAGCCGAAACATTCTTAGGATTCAGCTTATTAAGGTTATCGATCGTAATCCCTTTGTTGTCTCCTCCTCCTCCTCCACCAGCGAGAACACCAGAGAACAGCTGGCTTTTCCCAACCACCGTCGGAGTTCTCTGAGCCCCTGAAGGAACCTCAACACCACCACCAAACTTCTTAACCTCCACACTGATCCTCTCTTCTTCCTCCTCGTTCTTTTGGATCTCAATCAAAGGAGGACCAGAGAGCGTCTCAATCACGTACTGTGTAAACAAAGTCTCTTGAATCCTGTCAAAGTAAGTGCTCATATGGAACGAGGAAGCGAGAACTTTAACCAGTAGCGTCTTCACTAGCCAAAGCAAGAACCCAATCAACAAACACACAATGATCTTCGTCACAACACGAAGCGCCTTTGTGTTCGCTGCTTGAGCCACTTTCTCATCGAACAAGAAATGCCAAGCGAGCAACACAAGCCCTAACCATAAGCAATTCTGCACAGCTTTTCTCACACCGTAGACGAAATACAAAACTCTCTTCCTCAGAAGGAAGTTCCTCTCCACGAAGAAGACGACTATCTTGACAATCCAGCTAGAGACTAATCTCCCACAGATCAACACTAACACCATTGTTTCCCATTTCCATAGCTGAAGCTCCCATAGTTTCTTCCTACGCAAGGAAGGTATCGCCAATGTGCAAACCAACGCAGCGATGATCGAAATCAAACTCAGCCATTCAAACACAATCCAGAGACTGAGTTTATCTTTCCTATACTCTTCTGGTAAATCCTCTTCTGCAAATGGATCGTCTTCTTCCTCCTCCGCTTGATTTTTGGGGCTTTTCCCGAAAAAACCCGATTTCAACTGCCCGGATTTCGGAATCCGACCCGATTTCATCTCCGTGGCTTGCGGCGGCAGCGGCGGCTTCGGCGTTGGTGGATCCGAGAGGCGTGACCTAGTTCGCATCTTAATCAAATTGCTAGAGTTTCTCTGATTCGGAGCGTTCCCACTACACTTGACAACTTCTCCGTCGTCGTTGTTGTTATTGTTGTTAATGCTGTTACTCCGGCTATCTCGTCTCCCCACGGCGTCGGGTTTGTTTGCGGCGCCAGTGGAAGAAGCTTTCGCCGACGCCGGAGACTCCAGAACCGGAGTTAAACCCCTCGAATTAAGCTCGTCCATACCTAAGTCCATATCTAGAGAAATCTCGCCGGAAGCTTGCTGTTTATGGAGAAACTGACCGATTAGCTTCGTCGGAGGATCCTCGCCGCGCCGGAACTCGAAGGCTTCGTCATCGCCTCTCTCGTCCTCCGACGCGGCGGATCTCTCAGCATCGGTCGCGTCATTTATCCCTTTGTGGAGGACGCCTTGTCCGTCAGTCCAGAAATCGTAACTTCCGTCTCTCCATATCTTCCCCATCGTCTCTCCGGAGACTCCATTGCCGCCGCTGGTTCCGTTATCATCGTCGATTTTGACGACGACTTCTCGCCGGTCAGCCGAATCAACGGCCATGATTAACCAAAATCCAGCGAGTTTGGGTTTCGCGTGCACAGTAACGACTAGAAAGAGGAAAAGCAAAAAAAAAAAAGTTTGTAACACTTTTGGGTAACTGTGAAAGCTTAGAACAGGAAACGCTTTTTTATTTGTGAGATCAGAGAGCTGGTGATGACTGTGCCAGAGAGAGAGATATACAGTAAAGAAATTAAATTGATCTTATTAATGCGTGACGCGTGTTAACCAATCGCTGCCACACAACAACTATACAAACTTTGCAAGTTCGAGAAGAACTTTAATTGCGGCGAATCGGCTTGTTTTTTCTTCTCCGTCAAAAGTTAGTCCTAATTTTGTCAAAGAATTGTTGTTTAGTAGAATTTCCTTTCGTGGATGTAATTTACATATTTTAATTGATTCTAGCAAATATTATAAAAATCTGTAATGCTATTTTAGGTCTTTTTTTAAGAGTTAGGTTTTGAGGAAGTGACGTTCGTCAGATATGATGATGAATCACGCTAAACGACATTATTGTAATTAATACTTTATTAAGTTCAAAAAGCACCTAAATATAGTAATTAAACACACAAAAAAAGAGTTCCAGAAATTAGAAGGTTACATACACTTACAAACTTCAAACTATTACGGAGTCACTGCTAAACCAAGAACAGATTGTATACAAAAAAATCATGATATTCTTCTCATTGAACACATCGTGAACAGTATTATCATACTCCCTCTGTTTCAATATATAGGGAGTTTAAGGTTTTGGCACACAGATTAAGAATCGATTTAATTTTTGTACTTTTTGAAATAAAATATATTTTATCATCAGTTCCAAAATATTTCAACCAATGAAAAAGAAATCTACAGAATATAAATAATAAAAAGTAATAAAAATACATTTACTTTTGTATAATTCTTTGAAAAAAAACAAAACTCTAAAACTCCTTATATATTAAAACAGAGGGAGTATCATTTTCCGAAAAAGAAAAGCGAGACTTGCGGCGGTGTACTATTAGCTGTACAATTCACGCGTCTGAAAAGCGCGTGTCATTTGTTGTAAGCTGTGTATTAGATGTCACGGCCCATGGGCCCTTGTCGTATCTTATTCCGGACCACAGGTTCGTAGAAGCAACGCACTGTAATTTTTCTTCTTCTGTGCGTCTCTAAAAGTAACGGCCTCTAAATGTCCGTTGCGCGTCACAGTCGATGTTGCCTATGTTCTCTCTAGTGGCCACTAGAAACATCTATCTTATGTAAGGTAAACATTATACTCCACTACAGGTATACGGCAAAAAGGAAAAAGATGATATGTCGACGACAGGAAAATGACAAAAAAAAGGAATGTCTTGGAAACTTGGAGTGAATCACGTCTCTTATCAACTAACTTTTGTTCCTCTACTGTTGTCTTTTTGTTAAAGCTTTCTTTTGTTACATTGTGTGATCATTTGCATTTTCTTGAATTCATGAGATATAGCAAATAGAGTTTGAATTTCATACGAAGTAAGTGGGACAGACCAAGTGAATGGATCATAAAAAAATGTATGTTGACAGTTTCTCTATCTATTGTTAGACAACGGTTTGACAAACTTATTTTCCTTCTATTGTTACATACACATACATAGTGTATTTACAAATTCGAATAAATAAAGACTGTTCACATCAATAAAGAAAAAAAACTCTAACTTCACTGAGAAGAAGCCATGACACTTTGTGACAGGTTTTACTTGACCTAACTCTGGAGTATAAACTGCTGCATCAAAATCGCCACGATGCTTCCCAAGCTTATGTTGATCACATTGACTACATCATTGTTTAGCTACAAGCAGCCAAAAAAACAACAAATCGAAAAAGATAGAGAAATGAGACTAGGTAGCTCAAAAACTGCAACAACGGCTTCACAAGATGACAACTCATAAAAGGTTTATGAAATGGAAAGTGTTTTTCTACTCATTGACAAATAAGTAGACAGAAGTGAAAGCAAACAAAACGAGAGAGAATTCAATTGAAGAGAGCATACCCATTCAAATCCTTGTTTGTCTTGAAAAGATGCACCTATTATGCTTTCTCCAAGATTGGCAATCTGGGAAGCTAGTACACATACAGCTGCTTCTGGAGGAGTTATCTGTGCTCAAGATACCAAACAAAATATTAAATACCAAACAAGATATCAGTTGAAGAATGCTGAACAAAATATTAAATAACCTCAAGTACCTGACCCAGGAAACACCCAATCGAGGCAAGAAAAAACGATGCCAAAAGTCCAGCTAATGTTCCTTCAACACTCATAGCTCCCTCGGTTCCTCTTGGTACAATCTTAAATGTTGTGGCTAAATACCTGCAAATTTGCACCAGTTAGTATCAGGGTCAATCAGGAAACAGACCCAAATCTTAGCTAACTTATTCCAAGTAACTTTAGCATACTCACGTTGTTTTGCCATAAGCTTTCCCTATCTCGCTGGAGACAGTGTCAGACACTTTAGTGCAGAAACTGGAAACGAAACCAAGCCGGAAAAGCTGAGAAAAAGCTGCTCCTCCCACTTGATATATCGAAAGAAAAGCACAGACGCAGCCAGCAGCACTTGAGCCAATCACACTGCGTGGTCCTCTTCTTCCTTTTTTCTTCTCTGCCACACCTTGTGCTTCCTTCTCGGTCATTTTGACCTTTGTTGCTGCTGTTCCCTGTGATATTTCAAAATCATCTAAACCAACTTCAACGCCAAAATCACTTGCAAACTCAGTGTTACTACTCATTCCAGCTCTCAATCAGTAAACCACATTTTTGAAATCTAAAGTATAAGGAAACTTGCAGAATCAAGACGAATTATCACAATTCTGAGCATGATCAGATACATTTTCAAAACCAAGTACTATCAAGTCTAAGATTAATCAATCTAATAATCTAAAATCTAAGGACATTCTTCATTCACCAGCTCGAAATTTCAATCAAATTAGAGACTTTTGTGTTTTAAGAGGCAGTGACCAAGTTAATGTAATGTATTGTTCATTGCAAGTGCACTTACTAAGACGAAGTAAGCAGCTACTAAGAGGAAACCAGCAGAGCCATAAGCCCGCCAAGTCAAAGTACCGAGCAAGAACGCGGCGGCGATTCCAGAAGCGGACAATCCAGTAACGAGAAGCGGTGACCCGAGAACGAAAATCAGTAAATTGTTAGCCACGGCGGATTTCCAGGTCGGTGACGCCGATTGGATCAGCTTCATCGCCTCCGTCACAGCTCCTTGCGCCGACGCAGCCGCCATAGCACCCTCAGCTCTGTTTCCCGGCGAAATAGTTCCGTTGGAAAGGGATTCGAGGTTACGGTGTCTAAATCGGCAGGATCTAGCGAATGGAGAGGGAGAAGAAAATCCCGAGAATTTCGGGAATCTCAGAGGTGAAACTGATCTGGAATTTAAGAGTAGAGTTGACGAAATCGAAGCCATGACCGTCGTGTACACTTAGCTTTGCTTCCGAGAAACCGGAGAAAAAAAAAATGGAAAAAGAAAAGAAAGCGTTTTGGGCTGGATCCGGAGCTCCTATAACAAACCGGATACTAAACCCGTTTTACATTATCTTTCCGGTCCTAGAAATGAGATTATTTACAGTTATGCCACCTTCGTTATTTACTGAAGAACCAACCCAATCTTATCCGAGAAATCGAAAAGCTCAGAACAAAATTGCAGAGGAGAGAAAACAAAAATGGCGGTTCTCTGCTCGTCTTCGACGGTGATACTCCCTTCTTCTTCTTCTTCTTCGGTGAAAGCCTCTGGAAGTTACAGAAGGTCTCCGTTCCTAGGCTTCTCTCTATCTGCTACCTCGAAGCCGTCGGTACGAGTCAGCATTTTCGCGAACACGAGAAGAGGATTGCAAGTGAAGTGCGAAGCGGAGCAGACGGCGGCGACTGCTACTTCTCTTGTCCCGGCGAATCAGCGATGGATGTTCGACGAAGAAGAAGCAAATGGCCCTGTAACTATATTTTCTCCTTCTTCGCTTTTATGATTCATATCTCTGCATTTTGTGTGCTCAACAGAACTTGATAAAGTCTCGAATTTTTGAAGTGAAAGGTTCTGGATTTTTGAATTTATGAATCAGAATTGTTTCTCCCATTTCGATTTATCAAGTAGTGGACTTTGCCTTTGACTCCATTTTCGTGCTATTGATGTATAAGTTGGTGTCTAAGCTTATCTGCTTGTTTAGTGCATCAAATACACAAATGGATTTGAAGAATTGAGACTTTATTAGAAGATTTTGGCTTGTAGCTTTGATTGAGAGTATGTGATATGGTTTTACAGGACATTTGGAACACGACGTGGTATCCAAAAGCATCAGACCATGTGAACACTGACAAGCCATGGTTTGTGGTTGATGCGACCGACAAAATCCTGGGGAGATTGGCGTCAACGATTGCTAATCACATCCGTGGGAAGAACCTTGCCTCCTACACTCCTAGTGTTGACATGGGAGCCTTTGTGATTGTGGTATGAGTGAGCTTCTTAAAACCATCATCTTGATTTCTTGGGGAATGTTTGTCACTTGTCACTTATAACTTATGCCTTTGTTTTTGGTCATCTTGGTTATAGGTGAATGCTGAGAAAGTTGCTGTATCTGGGAAGAAGAGGAACCAAAAGCTGTACAGGAGACATTCAGGACGACCTGGTGGTATGACAGTAGAAACATTTGACCAATTGCAGCAGAGAATCCCAGAAAGAATCATCGAACATGCTGTCCGCGGCATGCTTCCAAAGGGACGGGTTAGTTTTGATAATTCCTAGCTCTTTCTTCATCAGTCTCTTGTATGTGTATAGACTCACTCTAACTTGGTGTGTGGCCGTATTGTGGGCAGCTTGGGAGAGCTCTGTTCAATCACCTGAAAGTATACAAAGGCCCTGAGCATCCCCACGAGGCGCAGCAGCCGCTTGATCTGCCTATCAGGGACAAGAGAATACAGCTCCAAAAATAGAGAAACAACCAAGCGCAGAGAGTTTTTTCTTCCTCAGGTTTCTTGAGTTTCTTAATGTCAAAAGCAGAGGAGGCTTTGCAGATTCTTGTATCCATTGCTTTGCTTCTATCAACTCTATGCTATAAAGCTTACTCAAGTGAAATACTTTTTCATTTCAGTTTTTTTTTTTGGCTGCTTAACCATCTTCTTCAGCATATTGAAAGATGAAAGTAACAAATTTGTGTACAGCAAATCGAGTTTTCATAGCAAGTAAAACTAATCCTATAATTATGCCAAACCTTGAAAGGCGATCTCTGTCTCCTTGAGATTACTTCTTCTCCTCTGCAGAAGCTTTTGGGATTGCACTAGAAACCACACGAAAATGAAGAGTAGAGTGAAAGCGATCCCAGAAGAGACCAATCTCGTCTCCTACCTTCAAACTTCTCCTGTTGACAAAATCTGTGCGCCATCTATCTGTTAGACAACAAGTCTCGTTGAAACTCCATTTCCTCAGACGCAACTTGTGGGAAGTGTGCGTGTCGTCGTCGTACACGTTAACCATGATTCCATCTCCTTCGAGGACTCTCTTTTGCTCGTATTTGAAGAGATGTCTTAGTATGTGTCTCTCAACGCCGTAAACGCTCAGATTGACTCGGTTGCAAACATCAATCTTGCTCAGCTTCTTCTTGATGACCCATGGATCTCGCTCCTCCGGTTCTTCTTGTTCTTTCGAGAGCTCCTTGACATTTCTTGGTTCTTCTTGTTCGGTTGTCTCATCTTCTCTTGGAACGCAAGTAACCTTAGGGTATTCACGATTTCCACAAGGCCATGTCTCGTCGTGCAAACAGAAAGCGGTGGAGACGATACCGTTTAGGGGGTCTTCATCCAAGCAATTAGTCTTATTCTTCATCATCAAGTCTTCATCTGTATCCATCGGAGAAGCAGAGGAGAGAGACATTCCAATCTCCAGTTCCTTGGGTGGCAAGAAAAGATACTCGTTAGGGATGTGTCGCGGTTTTGAGCTCAGACTCTTCGCCGGAGACATAGGAACGTCGGTTAGAGGCTCTTGACTATTCTCCACCGGAGTCATAGAAACACCGAAGAGAAGCAAACCCGTTTCCATGGATGGCGAGATAGAAGAGTCTTGATCAGTGGTCTCTCTTGGTTCTTGCCTCATGATCGCCTGATTGTTATACCCCGGAGGATTCATAGGAAAGCCGAAGAGAGTCAACTCCGTCTCCTTCTTAGATGGGAAGAGAGAAGAGTCGCGCGTGGTCTCTCGCGGTTGTTGGCTAATACTCGTACGGATCCTCTTCGCCGGCGGTAAGGGAATGTCGGAGATAGACATTTCCGTTTCGTTGTATGGGGATAAAGATATCTCTTGAGGAGTCTCTGGCGGTTCTTGGCTCATACTCGCTCGACGCTTTTCCATTGGAGAGAGGCAGAGAGCTCTCGTCGAATCAATTTAGAGAGAGAGATTGGAATGGATTCTGTGAAACAGAGCGAGTGAGGAGGACTAATATATATTTTGTAATGACTAATTAAATAGTTTTGGGCCTTTTAGTGGCATACGAAGGCCCAAGTTGGTCAACTTACCTATATAGAGAAGATTGCGGAAAACCTAACCATTCGCCTTGACGAAACCTCTTCTTCAACCTGAGGACGAGGAAGTTAAGATAAGAGAAGGAAAGATGACCTAATATAAGTCTAGTTATCACTTTCAGTCGCAGAATTAACTGTAAATTTGGATTCAATATGTAAAACGTTTCAAAAAGGTAAATAAGGCTATAGTTAAATCTATTTTGACAGCCCTAGTTCAACAAATCAAGAATATTAGACTGCTTTTAATACTTCAAAAACCAAGATAGTTCGTGTAGTATATAGCTTGTATTGAAATTTCAAAATATACCACTAATTTCTTTTTAACAAAAACCTTTCATTATGTAAAGTAATAGTAAAAAAAAAACAAATCCATGTCGAAAAGGTTAAGCAAAATCCACTAATCTAAGGAAGCACGCAAAAGTGAAGTCTAGAAGAAAAACCATTCCAGAAGAAGCCAATCCTGTTTCCTCTCTTCAGCTCTCTCCTTTGGACAAACTGTTTAATCCAGACACCGTTGAGAACATAGCTTCTTGTTGTGTAGACCATTCTCTTCAGGGTCAGCTTGTGTTCAGTCCTTGTGTCTTCGTCAAACACTTCAACGTCAACTCCGACTCCGTCTTGGATTTTGTTTTGATCATCTTCAGAGAGATTTGGCAGGATGTGTGTCTCCACGGCGCTTGTCTCTAGTAGAAGTCGGCTTAGACCGTTAACATCGCTTTTGGTCAGTACCTTCGTGATGGTACATGGAAGGGCGTTGAGATCTATCTCTTGAGGAAGCTCTCTGACCATAACTTCTTCTTCTTCAAGTGAGGATGTTTATTGTTGGAAGAGTTTGAAAATAATCAAATATTGATGATGAATAGAGTGGTTGCTTATGAGTCCATATATATATATATATATAGAGAGAGAGAGAGAGAGAGATAAAGAAATCATTTTTCGTTTTGGATTAGGAGTTTTAAAAATCGGTTTACGTTATGGAATAGGAGTGTACGTAGTTGGAATTTTACTATCATCAGGAGATTATTTTGTTGTATAGGGAAAAGAGAATAAGGGTAAAAAGGTAATTAGATATCAAACTCGGCGTCCTCACGTGAGTGGCACGAGGTACATCGTAAAACCACGTCGATGAAATGTTTTCTCTTTCTTTGCCGGGAAAGGACTGGCGGGAAATCGCGGCATCGCCTCGAAGAAAAACCTCCCAAATCTCAGAAAAAAATAACTAAAAGATTCGGGAAGATGACGACACATACCGAAACTCTAAATGTTCTCGACGAAATCGAATCTCTTGTCTCCGATCAGCTTCAAGTGGTAATTTACCCATTTCTCTATTCCTTTAATTTCGTCTAATTAGGTTTCCGATTTCTACTTCAGTGATTTTTAAAATTAAACGTGATTGAAAGAGAATTATTTGTTTAATTCCGAAGCTTCTATATGTCGTAACTGAAAGAGAGTTTTGTTCTCCCTGGGATTATTCGGAGGTTTTGATGTAGAATTGAGAAATCTGGGTTATAATGACTGATTCGGTCAAATCCAATTTGGTTTCAGGTATCTTACAAATGGCTAAGTCGAAACTTCTCGCTTTCATCAAAAACTGCCAAAAGGTACATTGTTCCCCCTCAATTTGGATTTCACTTGCTTTTGGCTAATTCCAGATTTGTTTTCCCTAATAACCATGGCTCCATTGTTATTAGATTGCTCAAAGATTTCGTCGAGAAACGCGGAAAGGATTTGGAAGTTGTATATACTGTTTCTGGGTGGCGAAAGAACAATCCTTCCGATTACCACACGAGGCTTGTATCAAGCTCCAAACTTTCAGGTCACACTTCCCTATCTGGCTAAACTCTCTTCTCTTTGCTATCTTCCATGACTGTCTTTTGTATAAGGTTTCGCTTGCAAAGTAGTACAGTGTTTATCGCAGATAGTTCTCTTGGATTTACGAATTTCGTTTGATGTCTCATTTGGTAACGGTTTGACACTTTTATGTCATTGATTCTGGTGCAGAAGTGGAGAAAGAGTTCAATGGGAAATATTTTGCTCAGATATACAGTGTTCAAGCAAGCATTCCGATGGATCCAGCAGCCATTTGGAACACAGAGTTCGTACAAGCAGAAGAACTTTTCAAGGAGCCTCCTCTCGCTAATAATTGTTTGAGAGACAACAGGTAACACCTTTTCTTACTATTGCATGAAAGCTTTCCACTACTGGTTGACTCAGCCTTGCCATATAAACTAGAGAGATGTGTGTTTGTTTTTGTTACCAGGTTTTGTGGCATCTCTAATTCTTTTGTAAAGCGAGATATAGAGGGAGCCACTGTAGATGTCACAGCCCCGCCGCGAACTGAAAGTGTGAGAAGTGCAGAACAATCAGTCCCTAAGTTTGGCCATCAGGCTAAAAGTGAAACTAAGACTGCTCCAGCTCAAACCCAGTCTGTGAAATCCTCTGTGCCGGCTAATAAAAAGAATGGTCAGAGCGAAAAGAGTGTGAATGGAACTGGTGGTGGTTCGTTGAAAAACATGTGGGGTCGTGTGCCTGTGAAAGCAGAAGATGATTCTGCTACAATAGAGGTCAAAAACCATGATCATTCAGGTTTTTTCTCTAATCTGTTCATGCCTTAGGGTACTGATCCAATGGTGTATGGCTTTACTTGGTGTCTGTTTTAGTTAGTTTTGTTCATCTATATGAAACGTTCTGTAATTTTGGTGCAGAAGCTCAAAAACCTTCTAACGATGCTGAGAAGAAGAGAGGCAGTGATGATGAGACCCGGGATGTCGATTTCGGGAGAGCGGCTAAGAATGATAGCAGGAAAAGAAAGGTGATATTTGATTTTTCCGACGAAGAAGAGTTTGAAGATGTTATCAGCTTAGCATCTCCTCCTACCAGTCCAAAGATCAATCCACGTCCGGAAAGCGAACAAACGAAAGATCCAGTTCCAGAAAAGCCTGACGCAAGTGTATCTCGAGAGATGAAAACTGATGAACGAGAGGTCAAAGAAGAAGACAGGCAAAAAACTGTCTCTGAGAAAGAGAAATCTATGGCTTCGTCAATGGAGAAGGTACAGGCCATTAGTTCTGAAGCTGAAGTGAAGCCCTCAAAGGGAAGAAATAGTGGAGCTCCTAGCTCACCTAAAAGGAAAAAAGTGTTGAAGACACGGATTGATGACCGTGGCAGAGAAGGTAAAAGTGTATATTTATGCAAGCACTGCCTTGTGATGTCAATATTTCTCTTACTTACTTATATACAATCCTCTTTTGAATAGTGACTGAGGTAGTTTGGGAGGAGAAAGAAACAGACGTGAAGAAGAAAGACGACACTGAGACAAGCAAGAAGTTAAATGATGGCAAGAGCGCAAATGCTGTTAACAGGTAATGATATGATGTTGTTGAAAATGATTTAGCCAATGTATATAGAGCATTTTTAAACCTTTTTTTTTTGGTTAACAAAACCCTAAAGCATCCGAGTTTCCTTGTTTCAGAGCTGCTGCGCAGAAGAAGAGCCCAGCCATTGGAAATGCGGCAGCCACAAAAGCAGGAAGCAAGAAAGGCGGGAACGCCAAAGATCCAAAGCAAGGGAACATTATGTCCTTCTTTAAGAAAGTTTAACAAAGCTAAAGCTTCCTGTTTCTGTTGCTGCTTAAAGTTTGATTTGAGGACTTAATAACCAATTGTATGCTTTAAAAAATTAGTGATTCGAGTCATTCATTAAAACTTGTGCTAGCAAACAATCTCTCGCTGGCCTGTAGTAAATTAGTAATACAAAGCAAGAGCAGAATAAAATAAGGAGTGGGTCCCAGTCAGATAGGCAGGTGTACATTGACTGTAATAAAAAAACTGAAATTAAATTTACAAAACACGTTTCGTTTCTGTTATAGCGTGTGAGTACTTTTATAAATGGAGTTTTTAATTCTGCAAATGGATAACTTAGAGAAAGAAAGAAAGTGGATTGGTTTTGGAAAAGAGTGTTCGTGAAGTTGAATGATTGAATCAGCTGTGCAGAAGAATCAGATGATACACGACGACGACGGTTCATATAAACGTAATCCTCTCTTCTTCTTGTTTCGGAGTTACATTTGTTTACCGTTTTTTTTTTTTTTTTTTTTTTGCTTAATCTTGTTTTGGAACCATATACAGGTAGTCAAACCGGAATTGACGGTTCAGGCGCCTTTGGTTCTACGAATCCGGTTAGCTCCTCTCCGAATCCGAGCCTGAACTACAGGCCGGTCATCGGGATTGTGAGCCACCCTGGAGACGGCGCGTCGGGTCGGCTGAGCAATGATAAGAGCTCGACGTACATCGCCGCGTCGTATGTGAAGTTCGCCGAGGCAGGTGGCGCACGTGTCATCCCTCTCATCTACAACGAGCCTGAAGAATTGCTCTTTCAGGTCAAATGTCTAATTTTTACAGGTTTTTGACATTTCAAAATTGAATTACTTCCCAAAATAATTAATCCAAAGTTTTGTTTTTTTTTGTTTTTTGTTTTTCCGGTGAATTACGTTTTGGATTCTGCAGAAGCTTGAACTGGTCAACGGTGTGATATTCACTGGTGGCTGGGCTAAAAAGTATGAATATTTCGATATCGTCAACAAAATCTTCAATGTAAGTCGTCTAATTTTCGGTGGTTCACTATTTATCTATTTGGTTACACTGTAAGTCGTCGTCGGTAGAAAAATATGTGTTTGTTGTTTCACAGAAAGCTTTGGAGAGAAATGACGCTGGAGAGCATTTTCCAGTGTATGGCATTTGCTTAGGATTCGAGCTTATGTCAATTATCATCAGTCAGGTTTGACTCTTTCTTCAAGCCGTCTCATTGGTAGACAAGGAGCTGAGAATACATTACATAGAGATAGTATACTTTTGGGATCTGTGGGATTCATTCTAAATTCTCTAATCATTGTCTTTGTAACAGAACAGAGACATTCTTGAGAGGTTTGATGCAGAAGATAATGCATCAACTCTTCAGTTCGTTGAAAATGTTAATATCCAAGGCACTTTATTCCAAAGGTTCATAGCTTTTCATGATCCTTTTAGTTTATATTAATTGAAAATGATTCCATATATATATATATATATATATATATATCATATATTTGCAGATTTCCTCCAGACTTGTTGAAAAAGCTCAATACAGACTGTTTGGTTATGCAAAAACACAAGGTTAGTAGTATTACAACCTCTAATTGCTACATAATGAAGCTTAAACTCTGATGCTTTGGTCGTTTTGTTCTACCTTTATGGTCATTTGTGTATGCTTGCTGATATGAATTGTTATTATTTATTCAAGTATGGTATCACACCAGAAAACTTCAGAGGCGATCCTGCTCTGTCTAGTTTCTTTGAAATCCTCACAACTTGTGTTGATGAAAACAACAAGGTACATATATATGAATATGTTACTATATATAAAACCAGAACAAGGATTTCAATGAAATTCAAGAATCTTACCTTTTGCTCTGTTATCATATATCTTTGCAGACTTATGTTTCAACTGTTCAAGCAAAGAGATACCCAATAACTGGCTTCCAGTGGCATCCTGAGGTATATTAATTATTGTGTTATGTTTGTGGACAACTTAGATAAAAAAAAAGGTCTTCATACAATGAATTATGTGTAGAAAAATGCATTTGAATGGGGATCATCTGCAATTCCACACTCTGAGGACGCAATCCAGGTGACACTTCATTGTGCAAGTTATTTAGTCAGGTAAGGATATCAATTTTCTTGCACTCGGCCGAGAATATGTGTTGCGGTTTTGTCATGGATTTTGCGGTTTCAATGTGGTGTGCAGTGAAGCTAGGAAGTCGAAGAACAGACCAGAGTCTAAAAAAGTGTTGAGTAACCTCATTTACAACTACAAGGCTACCTACTGCGGCTACGCAGGGTAAAACTACTACTCGGACTCATCTATACACAGATTTTTCTTGTTTTACTCTGTTCTTTGTATGTGTAAACGATTCTTTGGATTGTATATCTTCTTGCAGGAGAGGTTACGACGAGGTTTACATTTTCACACAACCAAGATCCCGTTTCTAAGAAAGGCGTGTGAGTGTGAACCAATTTATATATGTAAACCAAACTATTGTTAATTCTAAGGTTCAAAAACAAAAGAAAAAAAAAAAACTAATGTAAATTATGATCTAAATTTAGGCAGCCGATTATAGTTTTCAGTCGCCTTCATGATTGGTTTGTTCATTTATCTCTTTGTTTGCTATATAAGATTAGGATTTTGATTGCCAAACCAGCATCTTTGAAATCGGTAATTCGGTAGACAACAAGGACACAGTGGTAACGGTAAAAACGACATAATCTTTAGGAGCACAATTTATAAAACGGGCCCCACTCTGAGAGTGAGAGGTAGCTACTATGATAAGACAACTTAATAAATAATGAAAAAACACGTTTCTGCATTAACGTGTTGCACACAACCAAGGTCCAGTTTCTAAGAACGTCGTACGTGTATGTTTCAAGTGTGAAGCTGTTATTGGTGCACCATCTTCATTATGAATCCTTTGTTAAGGATCCAATTGTTTACATGAACATGATTTCACAAGTTTGCTTGTATTCCAAGGATGTATATCTGATAAAATAAAAAGGGCAAGTCATTTCACAACTGGACATCCTTTGCATTTCTAAATCTATCCTTTATGTTTTAAGTTAAAATTAGAGAAGACTTGTGTGTTTTTGACTTTTATGTTGCTGCCAAGTTTAATTGAGGATAATCCAAAATCACACTACTTGGTTAATCAACGTGCAAGCCAATAATTTCGTTTTCTTGTAGGTATAAAATAAAATAATACACAACACACTAACACAGTAATTAAGGAATATATGGGCCCCAAGCCCCCAACGTAGGACTATTATAAAAGATATAACACGTTTTTTGAAATAAAATGGATAATAAAATAAGTAAAGATTTAGATTGGTTTTCGAAAAGAGTGTGCGTGAACATGGAGTTGAATGATTGAATCTACCGAGTATTTAAATACATAAAGAAATGCTGAATCGTAATATATCTTACTCAGATCATCTCTCTCTCTAGCGAATCATCTGCCATTGACTCTCTTCTTCTAGCTCCAGAGATGTGGAGTTACGTTTGTTTACCATTTTTGTTCTTGTTTTGGAACGATTTAGCTGTAGCAAAGTCGATTTTCCTCCCTACTCAAACCGGAGTTGACGGTTCACGCGCCTTTGGTTCTCCGAGTCCTGTTTGCTCCTCGCCAGATCCGAACCTGAACTACAGGCCGGTCATTGGGATTCTGAGCCACCCTGGAGATGGCGCGTCGGGTCGTTTGACCAATGACACGAGCACCACGTACATCGCAGCTTCGTATGTGAAGTTCGCCGAAGCAGGTGGCGCACGTGTCATCCCTCTCATCTACAACGAGCCTGAAGAATTGCTCTTTCAGGTCATTTCTAATCTCTGAAACTTTGTCCTGTTATAATTGGCTGCACTGACTGAATCTTGCTATCTTTGTTTTGACTTAAGGATTAGATTGCGTCTCAAAACTAATCCAGAGTTTTTTTTTTTGGTGCATTACATTTTGGATTATGCAGAAGCTAGAACTGGTCAACGGAGTGATATTCACAGGTGGTTGGGCTAAAAAATATGAATATTTCGATATCGTCACAAAGATCTTCAACGTAAGTTTTCATCGCTCTGTTTTGGTTTGATTTGTTTGTTTGTTTGCGTGTGTTATAGAATATGGTTCCAATATACAGTATGTATGTTTCTCACAGAAAGCTTTGGAGAGAAATGACGCTGGAGAACATTTTCCAGTATACGGCATTTGCTTAGGTTTCGAGCTTATGTCAATTATCATCAGTCAGGTTTGACTTTTTCTTCTTTCCTTCTTTAGAAACTCTTGTTTTACCAAAAACATTTTCATATTTGTTGAGCTATAAAAGTTAAGTCCTTCTACAAGGAGCTGATAATACATTGCATAGTACAGTTTGGGATCTATAGGCTCAATTCTAAAAGTCTCTCGTCCTTATCTATGTAACAGAACAGAGACATTCTTGAAAGATTTGATGCAGAAGATAACGCATCAAGTCTCCAGTTCGTTGAAAACATTAATATCAAAGGAACTTTGTTCCAAAGGTGCATAGCTTTGCATGATCCTCTTATTTTTTCTTTGTATCAACACCTCCTCAAGTTTTGCCATATAATTGTGATGTTTCTTAAATTTCCAGATTTCCTCCACCGTTGTTGAAAAAAGTCAGCACAGACTGTTTGGTTATGCAGAAACACAAGGTTAGTAGTACTGCGACTAAGTGTACAAAGTTTGCATATTATGCATTCAACAATATTAATTCTGCTTTGGTCGTTTTGTTTTAACTCTTATGGTTAGGCAAAATTTCTAGCTCATATATGCTTTATTTTCAATAGTTTGTTATTAATCATATTGTCACTCTTTGACTGTAAGCTTGCTAATACGACATGTTCATTATATTCCAGTGGGGTATCACACCAACAAAGTTTCGAAGCAATGCTGCTCTGTCTAGTTTCTTTGAAATCGTCACAACCTGCATTGATGAAAACAGCAAGGTATTAAATGTGTTACTATAAACCATATTAATGATTCAATAAATTCAGAATCTGACCTTGCTCTATATGATCTCTCTTTACAGACTTATGTATCAACTGTTAAAGCAAAGAGATATCCAATTACTGGCTTCCAGTGGCATCCTGAGGTATATGATCCGTGTGATATATGTTTTGATGGACAAGTTAAATAAAATTAGAAACGAATAGAAAGACTTCTTAATTATGCAATAAATATGTATGTGTAGAAAAATGCATTTGAGTGGGGATCATCTGAAATTCCACACTCTGAGGACGCAATCGAGGTGACTCAGCACGCTGCAAGTTATCTAGTCAGGTAACATCTCTACATTTGCACTTGTTTCTCACTCTTTAAGGTGTCTAATGGATTGAGTTTGAATGTGGTGTGCAGTGAAGCAAGGAAGTCAAAGAACAGACCAGAATCCAAGAAAGTGTTGAGTAACCTCATTTACAACTACAAGCCTACCTACTGCGGCTACGCGGGGTAAAGCTACTCGGACCATGATGCATCTTTACACATGAACACTCTTGTTTGTTTTATCTTGTTTGTTAAACGTTTCTTTGGATTATCTATCTCGCAGGAAAGGTTACGACGAGGTTTACCTTTTCCCACAACCAAGATCCCGTTTCTAAGAAGCAGTCATATGTGCACTTCTTCTTTAATATGAAACGTTTTGTAACATTAAAAATGCAAGGAGCCGATTGTTTTGGCTCGCTTACATGATTTTCCCTTTTAGTTTGGTTGATTTTCTTTTTTGGAATTGCATCCTTTCCAAATAATGTAGTAGTTGTGTTTGGTTCGTCGTCTTTCTAGCAATATAAATTACAAACGCCAAGTCATTTCACAACAAAACATACATCAACATCAAAATTAACATTTTCAAGTAACAAAAGAGCACTTTTGGCAATGGGTTTTTGCCAGTAATAATAAAAGTTATTTATTTTGTAGAAACCATCGTACACAAATAAGTCCATTGGCCAGTTCTGAAGCAAACAATCATCCTGGGCCAACAATAGTCCCATAACCAATAAGATGCACAGAAGAATGATGGGCCCCACACTAAGGATATAACGTGCATTTTAAATCCATGACACGTGGACGGTGGATATACTAGTTTCGTGATTGAAATCGACAAAACACCCAAAATCGTGGAACTGAAGAATTTCGTCTCATTTCCAAATTCCTTTACTCAGATCATCCTCTTCCTCTGAGATGTGGAGTTACGTCTGGTTACCGATCTTACTATCCTTGTGTACAGATGCTATCACAATGGTCAAAGCCGCCGAATCGCCTGCCGCGATTTTCCTCCCAAGTCAAGTCGGAGCTGCTGATGATGATGAATCACGGGCTTTTGATTCTCGGAATTATGTATGCTCCGCGCCGAATCCGGACCTGAACTATAAGCCGGTCATCGGGATTCTGAGCCACCCTGGCGACGGCGCGTCGGGTCGTTTGAGCAATGATAGTAATGCGTCGTATATCGCAGCGTCGTATGTGAAATTGGCTGAAGCTGGTGGAGCTCGTGTGATTCCTCTCATCTTTAACGAACCCGAGGAATCGCTCTTTCAGGTTAATTTAGTTTACTTTGAGCTCAGCCAGTTCTGGAATCTGTTCCTTTACCTCTCGTAAGTCGTAATCTGCTTGGTGAATTTACGTTTTGGATAATTGCAGAAGCTTGGATTGGTCAACGGTGTGATATTCACTGGTGGTTGGGCTAAAGAAGGATTGTATTATGAAATCGTCAAAAAAATCTTCAATGTAAGTTGAAATTTTTTTCCGGTGTTGTTCAATGTATGATTCGAAGACAAGGATCTTATTGATATCTCTATGATCCTCGCAGAAAGCTTTGGAAAGAAATGATGCTGGAGAGCACTTCCCTGTATATGCTATTTGCCTTGGATTTGAGCTCGTGACAATGATCATAAGTCAGGTGAATGCTTTGTTACTTGCTTCTTGTATCAACTAAACTATGTATTTGTTAAGCTATAAAGTTAAGTCCTAGAATTTACTATAGTATGTAGTATAGTTTGAGATCTGCAGGCTCCATTCAAAACCTCTGATACTTGCCTTTGTAACAGAACAGAGACATTCTTGAAAAAGTTGATGCAAAAAATTCTGCATCTAGTCTCCAATTCGTCGAAAATGTAAATATCGAAGGAACCGTATTTCAAAGGTGACATACAGCTTTTCATGATGTATATTAATATCTCAGATTGTGAAAATTATTTCCATATGAAACTGTAAATGTTTCTTAATTTGCAGATTTCCTCCGGAGTTGTTGAAAAAACTCAATACAGACTGTTTGGTTATGCAGAACCATCAGGTTAGTATTTCCAACTTCTAATTTGCGTTTCTGTCATGCATACTATGGAACATCAGGCAAATGCTTTTTTGTGTTTTTCTTGTTGCCATTTCTACTTTCTTGTTCATGATTGGTTATGATCCTCAATCTATCCGCTTGCTGATACGAACTGTTCATTATATTCCAGTGGGGTATCTCACCAGGCAGATATGAAGGCAATATTGCTCTGTCTAGTTTCTTTAATATTGTCACAACATGCATTGATGACCACGGAAAGGTATTGTTATGTTCCAAAGAACCACAAAGATCTTAACATATCTAGAGCCTGGCCTCATAGAACGAATCTATTTTTACATGTTCCTTTTCAGGCGTATGTTTCAACAGTTCAATCAAAAAAATATCCAGTGACCGGCGTCCAGTGGCATCCTGAGGTATAGACTAAATTATCACTGTGGTCCGTTGCGTTATCGTATAATTATTGGTATGTTAAAGAAAGCTCTGTATTGTGCAGAAAAACGCATTCGAGTGGGGATTATCCAGAATTCCACACTCTGAGGACGCGATCCAGGTGACTCAGCTCGCTGCAAATCATCTAGTCAGGTTAGTTCTCTATGCAATGTTTGGTAAGAATTGATAAGAGAATGCATCAGCTCTGGTTGCGTAGTTAAGATTAGAATCATGTGGTGGTTTCTTATGGATAGCACAAGAACATTCGTGAATATGTGTAAGTGGTTTCTCACGGTTTGAGTTTGAATGTGGTGCAGCGAAGCTAGGAAGTCACTGAATAGACCAACTTCTGGGAAAGTGCTGAGCAATCTCATTTATAACTACAAGCCTACGTACTGTGGATACGAAGGGTAACGCCACTCAAACAATATTTACATAATTATCTCTCTTTCTTCTTTTTCTTCTACTGTATATGTTTTTTAACGATTCTTTGGATCATTTATCTTATCTGGTGGATTCTGCAGGAGAGGTTACGACGAGGTTTACATTTTCACACAACAACGTTCCCTTCTCTAAAACTGTTGATATCTGTGAACTTTTTGTATCTTTGATCTCTCTATGGCTTTGTATTTGTGAAATGAACTCTTCACCTAAAATGCAAATTACAACCTCAAATCAATAATTCCCACATCAAAGCTTATATGTTCAGAAAAAATGTATATTGGTCTAAGATGTTCAATACATCAATGTAATGGGCTCCATAAAGCCCAACCAAGCTTTGGTTGCATGTCCCTCCATTCGCCCAACCGACGATTTTTATCCAACTAGAAGAAAGAAGAAGAAACTAAGTTGCAATAATTCCCGGTTCATCTCTAAAACCGGTATCATCATTTAACGTACCGAATCATACCAGCCAGATTGGACTGTTCTTCTTCTTCTTCTTCGAATTACACTGCGCTCTCTCTCTCGATGATTCGTCACAAGCGAGCTCCTTCGATTTCTCTCTTGGACCAGTCGTGAAGTCTCGTTTCTAATCGTAAGTGTTCTTCCTTTTGCGAAATTTTGTTTCGATTTGATCTTCTTAAGATAGATTTAGCAAAGAGATTGATAAACCCTAAATGTTCAGCTCTGTCGTTAAGACTTTCCTAGATTACTCGCCATTACTATTTTAGAGACTGATTCTTAGAAATCGAAGCCTAGTTATGGATTCGTTGCACTGAATTTTGAGCTTTTCAAGTTCTTATATGCAATTTCTTCTGCTTCTGCTGTGATTTGTTGATTAGGGAGACAACTTTGAAGCTTGCATTTCCTTGGAAGAAGCGTAAATGGGGAAGATAATGGAATGGGCAGCAAGATCTGATCACTTGAGAGGAATCCCAAGGAAAACGGTTATAATGGCTGTTGGTGCGTTTGCTCGAGCAGTAGCGAATCTTTGCAACAAAACGACAGTCCACAATGCAGATACTCTCATGACTCTAGTCCGTTCACGTCCTCCCGGAGTTCCTCTCATCACTGTTAGTAATCACATGTCGACGTTAGTTAAAAGATTTTATAAACCTTAATACTCTGATCTTTTACTTGTTGTCATCACTTTCCACTCACTTGTATCTACTTTCTGATGTTGATCTATTTACTTTGTTGTCAATCAGATTGGATGATCCAGTCATGTGGGGAGGTTTCAAGGGCCTTCTTTCATTAGATCCAGAGTTGGCTCGATGGGTTCTTGCTGCAGAGGACATATGTTTCAAGAATCCTATCTTCTCCTATATCTTTCGCACTGGTACGTCAAGCTTCTTCTCAGTGATTTGATGGTTGGCTTTGGCTTTTCTCAAGATGAATGTTGATGAATTCTTTTGAGCAGGAAAATGCATACCTATAACTAGAGGTGGTGGAATCTACCAAGAACACATGAACGAAGCTCTCCAGCGATTAAAAGATGGATCTTGGGTTGTTTATCTTTCACATTTTAAAGTAATACTGAGATCTTTTTTCTAGCTCTCTAATCGTTTCTTTTAATCATGACTAGTAGCTGCATACCTTCCCAGAGGGCAAAGTGTTTCAAGAAGATGTTCCTATACGGCGACTTAAATGGGGAACCGCAAGCCTCATCGCTCGTTGTCCGGTTACTCCTATCGTCTTGCCAATAATTCACCGAGGATTTGATGAGGTAACATGTCATAGATCCTTCAGTCATGTATCAGCATTCAAGTTTTTTATTCAAAAGAACTTACTTGCATTGTTCTGACGGCTGTAGATGATGCCGGAGAAGTACTTCAATGGAAGAAGGCCACCAGTACCGTTGTGGAACAAAAACCTTCGAGTCGTGGTTGGTGAGCCAATTGAGTTTGATGTTCCAATGATGGTTGAGAGCGCTGTCTCGGCCTCACGCCATGTAACAGCTCCTCCTCTTCAAGAAGCGCAATGGCCTGTCCTCTCTTTAGCTGGCCAAGAGCTTAACGAAGCTTCTCAGAGATGCCTCTACACTGCTCTGTCCGAGAAGATTCAGTCCTCACTGGAAACATTGAGACTCTTAGCCAAGCGGTTGTGACTTCAAATTCAGATCGGAATCCGGTTCGGAATTTTGTAAGTTCCGGTTTTGCTCCGTAGACGTCACAGTGATTTGCTTCATTGGTAATCAGTGATTTGGTTTAGTTTTTTTGAAGCTGAGAATAATATTCTACAAATTGTAATAAGAATGAAATTGTATCAACTACTAGAGTATCTTATCATTGAAATTTATAAAGTGACAAGAATCAACAAGAACTAGACATTTAAATATTCGGGACAAATACCTCTTATAAAAAGTTAAATAATTATTTGTGTAAAAGACCGTTATTTGTGTGATGTCTGTAACGCCGATGACCTGGCAAGTTCTGTCTCACTGCAGCTGAATCATTGATGTTGTTGGACAGAAACAGCTCTGAACGACCAGTTTGAACAGAGAGAGAGAAGGTTCTGATAAAGAGACAACGTGGGTGGCACACAGACGCGGCGACCACGTGAGACACTATAATATATATCGAGCCACCGGTGCGGGCGAGTGGTGCCTACGCGAATGTGAAAAACACATTTCATGGGCCCTACAGGGTCACGCCGGGGACGCACCATCACGTGAAAAGGAAACTTCCGAGGTCAGCAAAACGGTCTCGTGGTATTTTCGTAAATTAAACCCCGTTTTAAGGGCAAACGTTTTCTCTTACACGTGGAAATGAAACTCTACCTGTGGCAAATTGGTAAATTAACTGCGTATTCGCGGGTATAAGTATAAGCTCCCACGTGCTAACGCGTGACCTCATCTAGTGGCGATTTTGTAAATATAGGGTCAAAACTTGGGTAAATTGGGTAGTATAGGCTATTTGTTTTCTTTATTTGGCTATATCACTATGAAAGTAATCAACCTCTTCTTCTCTGGCACGAAGAGCTCATGATTAGCTTAACCTCCTTCTTCTTCTTCTTCTCCAATTCCCGAGTTTTCTCTTCCTCCGATCACCGGAAACTTTAGCTTTATCGAAATCTCCGAGCTTCTTCATCCGCTTCCTTCAGCTTAAATCATCTTTTCTTTTGGTTCTCACTGCTGGAGAAACGTGAAACTTTTGAGCAAACAAGTTGCTGCAACTGTCGGAGTATTCGTTTGTTCTGTTTGGTCTTTGGCGCCAGATCTGAAAATCTTGCGCTTTTTTCTCGAGAATTAGCCTGGGAATTGTCTCACTGATCTGCTGAAACAGAGAGTGATGACGTCGGGGACGAGAATGCCGACGTGGAGGGAGAGAGAGAACAACAAGAGGAGAGAGAGACGACGGAGAGCAATCGCGGCGAAGATCTTCACCGGATTGAGACTGTACGGTAACTACGAGCTGCCCAAGCACTGTGACAACAACGAGGTCCTGAAAGCACTCTGCAACGAAGCCGGCTGGATCGTCGAACTCGATGGCACCACTTACCGCAAGGTTCGTCTTTACGATTTCCCGATCTCATTTTGCTCTGTTTTCGTAAGAGATCAAAGTTACTGGTTTTCTTGCTAACGTGTTCCTGGTAGTTCTTTCGGCGTAGGTTAGCAAATTAGAGGATCGTTTAGTCAAATGTTTGAATCTTTTTTATTATGCGTTTTTAATCTAAAAGAAGATTCTCTCTATCTCTCACCACTGTCTCATGTTTGTTTGACTGATTCACTTGTGTCAAGAGGTCTAGTCTTTTTCTCAGATGATAAAGAGAAAAAGCAAAGTAGCATAGATCTCAATAAAACTGTCCATTGCACAGACTTCAAAGTGTACGTTTTGTGATCTGTAAGATTTTTGGGAAAAGCATGTGACCACTTTTGCTTTACTGTCTCAACACAGAGAATTTGCTAATGTGAAACTAGGAAAATGACTTTTGCTGTTTCAGTTTGTTTTCACATTAACAGAATCAAAACTTTTGAACTAATTCTTGACATAATTTTTTGGTTTTTCAAGAACTTCTTTGTGATCATGTTTATTTGTTTGTGATTTGTTTCAGGGATGTAGTAGACCTATAGAACGTATGGAGATAGGTGGTGGCTCAGCAACAGCGAGCCCATGCTCTTCTTATCAGCCAAGTCCATGCGCTTCTTCTTACAATCCAAGTCCAGGCTCATCCAACTTCATGAGCCCATCTTCGTCTTCTTTCGCTAACCTCACCTCCGGAGACGGCCAATCACTCATCCCCTGGCTTAAACACCTCTCAACAACATCGTCATCCTCAGCTTCTTCATCGTCAAGACTTCCTAATTACCTCTACGGCTCTATAAGCGCTCCTGTAACACCTCCTTTAAGCTCTCCGACAGCTCGTACACCGAGGATGAACAGCGATTGGCAACAACTCAACAACTCTTTCTTTGTCTCTTCAACACCGCCTAGTCCCACGAGACAGAGTAACATCCCTGACTCTGAATGGTTCTCCGGGATCCAGCTGGCGCAAAGCGTTCCAGCTTCACCGACGTTTAGCCTCGTCTCGCAAAACCCGTTTGGAATCAAAGAATGTGGAGACGGGTCGAGAATGTGGACGCCGGGTCAGAGCGGGACTTGCTCACCGGCGATTCCTTCTGGTGCTGATGTTCCAATGTCGGAAGCTGTTGCTGCTCCTCCAGAGTTTGCGTTTGGGAGTAACACAAACGGGTTGGTGAAGGCGTGGGAAGGAGAGAGGATACATGAGGAGAGTGGTTCGGATGATCTTGAACTCACTCTTGGAAACTCAAGCACAAGGTAACTCTAGTCACATGTACATTTCTTCAAGAAAAACCGGTCCGACCAAACCATTCTCAGTATGTTGCTTCGATTTTATTTCAATTTCTTTTTGTCATGTAAGGCTCAAAGCCTCAATCAAAGTCAAAACACAACTTTATATATTCGTTTATTTGTACCCTTTTGATTGTATCGTAGTATGTCACAGCCTTATTTAATCGTCTTGTTTCCCAACCCACCCCGGTTAATCAGCTAACCGGGTTCAGATGGTTGTAATCAGATTATGTTCTTTACCTTTGCGGTTAATGTTAACAGTCAACGAAAAGCAAAATCATGCTTTCATTTTATAGCATCATAGACGCTTAATCACGAGTCACGACACAATAAGGTTTTTGCAGGGGACAGAGAAGCGTCAGCCTCTGTTTATAACGGCTACAGATTTCATTTTCTGACATGGGTTTGATTTTCTTCTTCTTGGTCCTTAAGACTTTTCTTTTGTAACTCAGAGAGGAATATGGGTGACGTATGTGTATCCGTATGACTATGAGCTATAACGATCACATGGGAATGGGATAAACAAAGCTTTAATAAGTTGTGGTCAATGCACGTACGTTTAACTGAGGAATGACCACATTTTATCCATTAGCATTCTGCCACGTGTATACTTGTTTTATTGAAAACAGCATAAAGCTTTTTTACTCATAAAAAATTGTATCCATTTAGTATGATGTAAAAAAACACGTGAATTGTGGTTAATAATAGTTTGTTTCTAAATAACTGAAGTTAAAAATCATTAGAGAAGTTTGAAAAAAAAAAAAAATCATTAGAGAACAAAAAACAAATTGTATCAATTTACGATGTATACAATCGAACCAGCTTTGACTATATATGTATTTGAAAGACTCCGAATTGATTGAAATTAAACTTCGGCTATGAAGTTCTAAGGTTTTTATAAACGTTGATATTTTACTTTATCTACTAAATCAAATTGTATTTGACTGTATCTTCCCCTAATGGCAAAAATCGCGTAGATTCATTTTTATTGAAAAGAAAAAAGCTTTAAAAAGTATTCAACATAAGGTTATTATTATTACTTACCCAAAACCGTAGATGGTTTGAATATTAATTTAGACAACCAAACAGTCATCCCACTACGTGAATACTTGTCTATAAATACAACAATTTAGCTTTGATATCATGTTATAATCGTCCTTTCTACTCTAACAAAAAAGAAAGAAAATGGAATTCCATCAGTTCTTCTTCATCCTTCTTCTTGTTTCTCTTGTTGAGTTATCAGATCACAACGCAACTGCTCAGGAGGATAATGGATCAAAGTGTAACATTTACCAAGGAAGTTGGGTTTATGACAACTCTTCTAAACCTCTTTATGGAACATCGACTTGTCCGTTCCTCGGACTGGACTGCCAGAAGTTTGGTCGGCCAGACAAGGACTACCTCAATTACAGGTGGCAACCCACCGGCTGCGGCATCCCAAGGTGATAATCGCATTCATTTATCTAGTACACAATATACTTGAATTATTGTTTCAGAAATTTGTTTTGTGAAATCCGAATAACCTGATCATAAGTCATAACAATGCAATCGCATGTGAAATCATATAAAGCGACCTTAGAGATTTCCCATGCACTCATTTAGAAATAAATGGTCCGGAATCTTGAACGTCACTAATGAACATGTGATACATTTGTTAAACGTAACTTTTTATGACAATTTTAATAATTGCATATTGATTCAAATTACGACTTGTCATTAAATAAATAATTTTGTTAACATAAGAAACATTATTAAATTTTGTATAGTCTAGCAATTTTCATTATAATTGTGTAATAAATATTGTGATTGTCATGTTTAGATCTTCAAAGTGCAAAAATACACAGCCCCCGATTTGAATGAATAAAGTAATTTAATTAACGGGTGAGACGTATTTGTGGAATGGCAGATTCAACGGACAAGATTTCTTAACGAAATTCAGAGGGAAGAAGATACTGTTCGTGGGAGATTCACTGAGCAACAATATGTGGAGGTCGCTAAGTTGCATGCTTCACGCCGCCGTTCCAAACGCTAGGTACACCTTCCAAGTCAGCAAGCTCTCCACCTTCACCATTCCGGTACGTTTAACTCAAACCGGTTTACTTCCAATTCATGTTTATTTTGGATTCGGTTAATCAAACTTATCAATTGAAATGATAGGAATATGGAATATCGGTAGATTTCCTGAAAAATGGGTTCCTGGTGGATTTGGTAGCGGACAAAGCAAGAGGATTGGTTCTGAAACTAGATTCCATCAGTACCGGAAATCAATGGTTGGGATATGATGTTGCCATCTTCAACACTTTCCACTGGTGGTCTCACACCGGTCGTGCTAAGACGTACGTTATTAATTAATCATCTCATGCTTGAGCTTAGTGTAATCACATCACATATTCACATAACAAATGTTAACTAACTCAATGATGATGATGATTATGTAGATGGGATTATTTTCAAGTGGGAGACCGATTTGTGAAGGAGATGAATAGAATGGATGCTTTCAAGACTGCTTTGACAACTTGGGCTAAGTGGATTGATCACAACATGGATACTTCAAAAACTAGGGTTTTCTATCAAGGAGTCTCTCCCGTGCATGTCAAGTTAATCTCTTTCACACTCTCTCTCTCGTGATTATAGTTAACTAACTACTTAACCGGGGATTAATTTATGTTGTGGTTGCTTGGTTTTTGAAGTGGTGGTGAATGGGGTAAACCGAAGAACACTTGCTTGGGTGAGACGGAACCAGTGAAAGGACAAAGTGAGTACCCAGGACATAACGAAGGTGAGGCTATAGTGAAAACTGTGCTCAAAGGGATGGCTAAATCGGTGAACCTCCTCGACGTGACGGCTATGACGGAGCTGAGGAAGGACGGTCACCCTTCGATTTATGCCGGTGGAGGCCCTAAGTTAAATGACTGTAGCCATTGGTGCCTCCCTGGAGTCCCTGATGCTTGGAACCAGCTTCTCTATGCCGTTCTTCTCGTCAACTAGTCTTTTTCCTTTTTCAAGTTGAAATACAAACATACTTAATTAAGCTTTACTGTCTCTTAATCTCTATACTTAAAAGCTTGAGAGCAGAAATTACATATTTTTTTTTTGTCTTCATCCACATATCCTCAGAAGTTAAAACTGTGTGCAACATGAATAAAAAAGTCAATAGAGACTTGAGTATTGGTTCAATTGAAGCAAAACAATTTTATTTATTGATCATATAATCTTCTTACAACTTACAGATCATCAAAATGATCACAACAAAGAAGAAGCACAGAGTTCTTCTCATAAACTTAAAACTCAAAAGACAAGACTGTTTTGTTCATGGTCGATGACTAAGAGGATCAGAGAACAACAAGTTGGCAAGAGCTAGATAGTCTTGGAATAAAAAAAGAGTTCCTTAGAGGATGACATATTCTTCAACATTTCTAGGTTTATCCAAGAATAGAGTCAATTTCTTGAGGATTGTTGACTGGGCATGAGGCAGAGAGTCTTGGAGTAGTAAGGGGTCTTCTGAGGATGAGAGATTCACCTTCCTTTGTGGAATCATCCAAGCATAGTGTTGAGTTCTCAACAAAATAACTCACTAACCGGTGTTTTGAGGATAACAGATTCTCCTTCCTTTGTGGATTCGTCCATGGCTTTTGTATCTCAACATACTCAAGAGATGACAAGAAACACGGACGTCCAGATGAAATACTAATTCCTTCCTTCTCCGGGGGGTTTCTACAAGATTCCTGAAAGCACAACCGAATCCACAAACAAAAGTTTAAATATATATAAACACTTTCACCATTTGCATTATAACAAAGGAAATTCGATGTTCAATAAAAAAAAAATCCTAACCAAGAAAAGACGTTTTAATCTCGGGAAGCTCTCAAGAAAAGCTGGTAACATTTGCCACTTGTAGTCGGTGATACGCATGGAAGATAGGTTGGGAAATAGTGGCAGTGGTTGACATCTTAAGTAATCATAAATGACCTGAAAAAGAAACAAAAACAAAAATATCAGATATGTCTTGTATGAAAATCTTTTTTGAAGTAATAAAATAACAATCTTGAATTAGGTCACCTCGAGGGTACGTGAAGAGATGACCATATCTTTAGCAGTGGAGATCCCATTGAAGAAATCACGGATCATGTTATCTTTGGTAGATCATTGGGATCGAAACCTCCTTCCATAACCCAGCTTAAACACAATATCCATATCCACCTTAACAAGGGATCCAAGATCTTTTACTATGAAACTTGACACATGTTGTATCATATCAGAGAGCTTGAGGTAGCGTAGCCTGGGAGCATCAATAGCAATTACTAGATCTTCACCAATAGAGTAGTTCTCGAAATGAGTGAGTCTCAATAGAGACTCAGAGCACACTCGGAAACAATTTATATTTTCGAAAGAAATCGTCACTAGAGACAAGCTTTCGAGAAGTGGAGAGCCTGAGATGAGCATTTCGAAAGCCAGATTGTTTGCAAACTTAACCCGAATGAGAGAGATGACTTTGAGACATGGTAAAAACACAAACTTGGGACTAAGCAAGGTTGCTTCACGGAGCTCCAAGGTTACCAAGCTCTCACAAGTGTAAACTGTTGAAGGTATGTGGGCTCCATTAATCGACCAATGATAGGCAATAACTGATAAATGTTTAACTCTCCGCTTAACAACATCGTTGATCCACCGCGTGACATGAGCACTACCTAACTGGTACTTTACCTTGAGATTTTCTATGCACAACTCGCTGTTAAAACCTAGAAACCTATCGACAAAACTCACAAAAGTGTTGTATTCCCGGAGATCATCACAGCTCAAGTCCAAACCAGGTACGGATCTCCAGAGATTTCTCCATCTGTTGGACAAGACACTAGTTCTAACCACATCCTTTGTCGAGAGTTTCAAGAGTATCTCACATAACATAGAATCTGGCAAGCTGCTCAGCCTATCTTCATTATCTGTTCCACTTCCATCCATGTTCTCTTGTCGGATGAAGAATCCAGCAAATCTTCTGAGAAATTCCATTGAGATTTTAGATAATCAGGGTTTCACTCCAGTGACTGCGTCCGTTTAGGGATTTTTCTTGGTGGAAAAGTTTTCAAGTCACGTATTTAAAAGTGAAACCCATTCGGTTTAATTTGGTTTAGTTGAATTCGAATTTTCACTTCTATTACCTGTGTTTTGATAGAGGTCAATATTTAAACTGATTGTATTTTTGGAAAGAAAGCTTATCTAGAGTGATGGAGAAAGTGTTTCAGAAGTGAAAAAAAGTAAGAAGATTTTAGTTTCTTAGAAGAACTTCTTATTACAACTTCTTGATTCTTAATTACAAAATGAGAGGGGGAAAGAGTTATTTATAGCCTCCACATTACAAATTATCTTAAATATTTTAATCCTAAATATAGAGTGTTTTTAACTAATATCTAGATTATTTTATTACAATTATCTAGAATATGTCTAAATATTTTATTCTCTATAATTTTCTAGATATTACAATTATTAAGGAGGTGGAAATCTAGATATTTCTAAAGAGGATTCTAGAATTTGGGCTAAGTATATATTAGATTTGGCCCAAATTAATCTTGATCCAAAATCAAGTTTACCTTTCATGTATTACCAAACAAAATGCTAATATATTTTTAAGATTGCTCTTTCTTCTCATTTTTTTTTTTTTGTT